ATTAAAAATAAAAATGGTTTAATAAACAAGTGAAATTTAATTGTATTTACATTTAAAATGTAATTTTATTTTTCTTCATGGAGTCTCCATATCCGAAGGAGATTAAATGATAATTTGTAAATAATCGACAAATTTTGAAAGGCAGATTTATCAACCTATTGACAAATGAAGTTGATAGGTATTTCTTTTAGAATTAGAAATTTCCGGAACATAATTTCCAGAACGCAAAAACCACGCTTAATAATGAGATTAACAAATGCAGAACTAACTATGCATTGACATTCCCTTTACTAAAATCAAACGAGGGCCCCACGAAAAGCTTAAATACACTCGACCGTAGTAGTGTATTGAAACTTTCAGGATAATGTATGTGACTGCATCCAATTTATGATTTTATTTTTTGACACATACCCGAAGAGAACTATAAACATTTTCGTTAGATATGCCAAATGTCTTTTTGTTTTTAAGTTGGAGGGTAACCTTTTAGTAGTAGTCTTGTATATATATATATATATATATATATATATTTTATTTTTATTTTTTTTGAAAACGTTAAAATTTCTTATATTTATAATATCCTGTAGCGTTTCACAGAGGCAGTGGGTTTGGTTGCGGTGGCTAGCGAATTTTCGACCACTACTATAATAAAGTCCGGATTTCTTCAAGAATTTTCATAGGTATTTATATTTCATCCCACTGGGACAATTGTAACATCGCTTTTCTTTTTTTTTCTTTTTTTTTAGTATGAAATAGTAGCATAGGACTCAAGTTCATATTGTGGATCATCCAGGAAGATCCTTTTCCATTACCACAGGTAGGAGAGTGTGGTCTTGCCAATGGAATGAGGAAGTGCTGCTTGGAGTACAGATCATCCGGACCCAGGCTTCAATAAAAAATCTTATTGGTTTTTATTCAAGTATGAAGGGCTAGAAATCGAACCATGATTTTGTGGGGGAGATAAAAGTTTTTTTGTCTCACTGAGAAATTGCCCAATTAGTTCTTTTGAGTAATATTGTTATTTCTTAAAATATAAATGGGTGTGATTAAAAAAAAAAATTATTTTTTTTATTTAGGCAAACATGGACCACCATGCACACAAAAACCATTTTTTCAAAGGATTTTTTTTCCACAGACACAACTATTATTTTAACAACTTTCATTCCTTGGCAGTGTTTATTTACAAGATTATAAAAGATTTATTATTTACCATTTTATAAAGTAATAAATATGAAAAATCTTTTTATTCAAATATTTTTTAAATTACAAAATTATCAAAATATGTAAACCATCTACAATGCAGTCAGTTTTAAATCAACTAATTGTCAATTTTACCTATCTCGGTAATGTTTATTGTTTTAAAAGGCAATGATTAGAATTTTAATAAAACCCAAACATATAAAATTGAATTTATACATTTTCTTTGTTCTTGGAGAATTTACAATAAAAATATTACATACTATTTATTATTTATTTGCAAAAGTAATTTTATATTTTCATCCTTCCTAAAATGTGAACCAACTAATATAATGCAATGTTTATCATCAATTTATGAAGAAATAAATATGAAAATAATTCTTTTTTTTCAATTTTTGAATAAAAAGATTTCTTTTCACATTTATTTCTTTATAAAATGATAAGTAATAATTTTGTTATAATCCTGTAAATAAACACTGCTGAGTGAATGAACGTAATTAAAATAATAGTGGCATAAATGGAAAAAAAAAATGTCCTTTTGAAACACCATTTTTTTGCAGTCATGAAAGTCTGTTTGCCATTTTTCTATCCGTTTCGCTCCAAGCAAGGCAATAATGCTACTAGGATGCAGGATGTTTAGAGGGAGTGAAAAAAAGTGAGTTGGGAGGATAGAAGAAACAACAATAAAGGAACAGGGTTCAAGAAAACAAAAGATGGTGATTGATGCTGCATTTAAATATTTAAAGAAATTGGAAGGGAGTTCACCAGGTCGAAATTATGGGAAAAGAAACTGTTACAATAGAAGTAGCAGTTGCATCTAGTTAGTTCAGCAGTAAAACTGAGACTTAGTTGCCAATCCAGTAGCACACTTAAATTCCTGCAGTCAAGGCATCAGGGTAAAAAAGCTTATCAGAACAGTTGCCATGAAAATATTTGTAGAAAAGACAGAGGGAAGCCATATTATGTCAGTGAGAAAGTGTCTGAAGTTGAGATGCCTGGTCAAGATTGATTACGGATTTCTTGTAAGTAATAATTTAGAAATAATTCTTTATAAGTTAAAAAAAATTATGGGAATTATCCATATATAATCTTTAAAAGATTTATAATCTGTTCACATTTGAGTACAAATTGTTTTTAATTTTTGTATGAATGTTACCTAAATTAGATCTTTAAATCTACAGATAATATTAATTTTGAATTATAACGTTAAAATTCAATGTAATAGAATTAATTTTTTTAATTATATTTTTCCCATTTTTAGCACAAACTGGTCCACTCAAAAAATGAACATTTTTTGGGTAAATAATTTTTCTAGATTAGCATTCTTTACACCATCCTTTGAGCCCCCAACACTTGTCAGAAAGGAAAAATATTGATTTTTTTTTTAATCAAATTAGAAGGGAGGTACTGTTTATAATATCAATACACTGTCAAATTGATTTCTGATTTTTACAGAGTTATTGGCCTTAGCAACCTTTGCATACAAAAACAAACTTTTTTTTAGTAGGATGGGTTTACAAAAAGATTTCTTTTAAATGAACAAAATATGTAAATTTTTAATTAAAGAATAAAAATTTACATATATTAATAAAATTAGGTATGTTTTTTATTAATTTATGATAAATAATCATGAATCTCAAATGTTTGTGTATGTGCACTTCTGAAAAAATACCATACAAAAATTGAAAAAAAAAAATTTTAAGTTATAAAAGGAAATAAGTTAAAAAATTCAGAAAATTTTTAAAAAATATGCAGACATCAGGCTATAAGTATGTTTTCAAAATTGACATTTGTGTATATAATAGCTGACATAGACAAAGGCCAATAACTCTGTAAAAATCATGGATATATTTGACACGATATCAAATGTGTAAGTAGGACATCAAAATCAATAACAAATCAATAATTTTCGGTTCTGATAACTGTCATAGCTTAAGGAAGGTCTAAAGAATCCTAAGCCATAAAATTATTTCTAAAAAGATTTTCCCTAGGCCAGTCTACTTAAGTAATTCCCATTTTTTATTTCTTGTCTTCAGTTCTGTTAATGTTTTCAGCAATACTTGGAACTGACAGCCAAACTGTTTTATTATTATTATTTTATTTATTTATTTATTTATTTATATATATATATATATATATATATATATATATATATATATATAGTCAAATTTCAAGTGGGCAGTGACTGACTACAATTATGATTTTATGCATTTTTCACAAGATCATCAGTGAGTCAGTAGCTGTAGTTTGTAAAATAGGGACCCTTTTATATATATATATATGTATGTGTGTGTGTGTGTGTGTGTGGAAAAAGGAAAACTGAAAACAGCCACACCTAAAAGGTATAGACAACCTTATATATATATATGTCTCGTTATAGACATATTGGGTCTACTTATTTTTATACTGGTCCTTTCCAGTTGTCTATTCAGTTTCTTGATGTTGAGATGAAATCCATCAAGGAAGGTAGTGTAGTTTTTTTTTTTTTTTTTTTTTTTTAACCCAAGTATTTTGACCTTTTCCAAGGTCATCTTCTGGGGTAAATTATGACCAAACCTGCTGCTGCTACAAAATCACTATGACGATGAAATAGATTTTATCACAGTTACAATAGTATGTTTGTCTTTGTAATTTACTCCTGAAGATGATCTTAGAAAAGGTCGTAAGTACTTGGGTTAAAAAAATCTACGGTGCTTTCCTTGATGGATTTCATATCAGTATAAAAATAAATAGACACAATATATATATATATATATATATATATACACACACACACACACACACACACACACACACACATGCAAAAAAAAGGCTGAAAAAAGTAATGGCTGTTTTTATTTCTTTTTAGAAGTATTAGTCAGAATTCCCAGTGGTTTTATCTATATACTGTAAAGTACCAAGAAGTCCACAGGAGAAATTTTTGAAGGTACCTTCTACTTATAACCATTTTTCAAAATGGCTGTCTTTCTAGACACATTTAGAAAGTAAAGGACTTTCAGAAGAGTTATCGCTGTCCTTTGTAGCTCTTAATAAATTTTGTCTTTTTGTTATCTCTCCTAAACTCTGTTCTGCTTTACATTTACTTAAATTTTCTATGTAGGTTATGTGTTTTTCTCTGTCCCTCTTGCCATCAATCTGTCCTGTGAGGAGAATGTCCAGCATTCACTGCCGTAGAGGAGGATTGATATTACATAACTGTTCAACACTCTTCTCTTTGTTTCTAAAACATTTTCCTTTTTCTTAATACACTGCTTAGCTTTTAGAAAGTATCTTTCACTATCTCAATGTGTCTTTGGATTTCAGTGTTACATTTCCATCCTTTGTTAAAAGACTTCCCAGATATTTAAATTGTTCTACTTATTTGATTTTTATCTCTGCAATTTTTAATTTGCATGTTGGGCTGTTCATTCTGTTTTCTTGCAATTGATATTTAGTCTTTCTTCTCACTTTCTTTATGTAGGAGTTCTTACTTATTTAAAATTCTTTTGCATTTGTGAACAGGATGGAGGACCTGTTCATAATGATGTGTGTATTTTTTCTCCAGATTTACCTCATGAAAATCAAATCTTGTTTTTGTTAATAGGTAGAGAAGACATTTTCCACAAGAGATAATCATTGCCCAGACATTATTGCATTGATCAGCAGAAAGGCTATCTCTGAAAACAAGTAAGTTACCTACATTTATCTTTCAAATGTGTGTTATGAATATTCATTGCAACACAAATATAAAAAAAAAAATCTCGCTTTCATGTACACAACACATTTCTGGATATTTCCTCTATTTAGATTTTATTTTCAGTTTTGGCTTACGGCCATATCACTTTGAAACACCAGCTTTCATATGATCACCAAAGTTAAGCAAAATTGAGCCTGGTCAGTATCAAGATGGGTGACTGCTTGGGAATACCAGGTGCTGTAAGCTTCATTTAGTGGATGGTGTAATGGATAATGGCTCAGAATTGGAAATCAGAGAGCTGAGTTCCAATTCCAACCAGGTTCGTTATATTCATTTACGTGCAGATACCCTTGGGAAAAGTATAAATTCATCTCTTCTTTAGCTATGGGTTATTTAGAAGGACTTGTAGGAAAAATCATTATTATCTCAAAAAAAATTTTCTAATTTAAAACTATTTTCTGTTTTTAAATAACCCATTATGGGTTAATAAACCATAAAAAAACAATTCAAAAAATATTTTCAGTTTCCAACTGTCATACCCTGATGTTTCTTATGTATGTCTATATTTATTTTCCAATGTTTGTTTGTACTAAATTAGAAAGACATTTTTATTACAATTTCTTCATGGTGGAATCATCTCTAGCTTGAAATTTGGAAATCTGTTTGCATCCTGTTACTGAATTATTTACTGAATTTCAATAATAGAATTGTGTTTTTATGTTTATTAAACCATTAAGGCCAGAAGTACTAAAAAGTTTCACACCCATACAGACTAGGTGAGTCTGAATGCACCCACTGGGTATCACTATATTTCAATACACAGTGTTAACACCCATCACAATTTATTAGACAAGCAGCATTTGCTCCAGTTACTTCCCCTGCTTTCTGCTCCCGCAACAATTACTTTGTGTGTATTTAGGCAACAAATGTTCTTTTCAGTCAAATGTTATTAAAGACAACAGACGTGCCAATTAAGTTTTATCAATAAGATTAATAGCATTTTCCTTGACAATTATTTTCTTGCATTTTATTTTCTATTATACAGAAACATCAGTCATTTGTTAACAGTTGCTGTTTTCATATTGTTCTGGAATTTTCTAGCACTGATAGAAATATCACAAGTGCACTTTTTATATTTAATCAGCATAAAATACTTATTTCTTTCATTATATCAAGGTGTTTTCTTTGAATTATTACAAAGGTAGATCAGTGACATGTATCCACCATTGAATTAAGTGCATTTATAAGGAAAGATTATGCTTAAAAATAATTTGTATAAAGTAAATTTACTTGCTTAATATTATGTACATGTGTAGTCTCTCTGTTGAATTTATTTGAATACTGTTAATTATTCTTGTTATTCTCTCAGCTTTGTCATATATATTGACATAAAGATGAGAAAGATCAATTTAAGATCTCAGCAGTGTTATCTTTGTTTTTGTTAGCTGAAGCATTGTCAACTATTATTAATTTTTTTACTCTCATATTTTTAATTTTTTTTTGTTTTTCTAAGGCTGTCAATGTGCAGCAGTGAATAAAGAGTGCAGGATGCCATATACTGACAGCCTGTCTATATATATTGTATTTATTCACCTCCCCATGCTGGTAGGATATGACAAAATGTCAGTTTTAATGTAAAAAACTATAATCTCACATAAAAAAATTCTCTTTAATTGCTCAGTCCTATACTGGTATGTCCCACTAGTGTCAGTATTCTACCAACACTCCCTTTTTAGTGCATTGCAGGAGGTGTTGCTGTCTAACTGAAAATTCATGTCCCAAACACTTTAATTCAGAGTTAGTAAATATTAATTTTCATATACTTAACTCAATGTTATCAGATAATTGTTAGCAAAAACAGAGATTCTGTGTATGTGCACAAAAATATATATATACAAGCAGGCACACAAACACTGATTGCTTGAGCATACTGGCATTTGTGCATATTGCTGATCATGCTAGATTATGAGCTCTCTCCCAGAAAGTGTAAGTAAGGTTGAAGTATGAACTACAGGTGAGCTCTTTAGATGTTGAGTAAACGCTAATGTGCCTAAGCAGGCATTTGTTAGCCACCCTAGAAAATAGATGTTTTTGGGAAATGAGGAACTGGGCATTATATATATATATATATATATATATATATATATATATAAAGCCTATATATATATATATATATCTCAGGCCCTTCTCAAAATTTTGACAACTGTTCTGTTCTAGAAATCCACTTTTTTAGATGATTTGATTAAAGTGATGAAGATTTGTTTAAAACTAGCCATACTTTTCAGAAGAACTGATAACAAGGAAATGGTGCATTGTCTACCATAAGGTCTCAAAATGTCCATCCACTGGTTTGAATTCAGTTTCCCTTTTCTTAAACTGGCTGCCAGCCAAGATAAGAGTGCTGTTTAGCCCATAGCTGGAGGAAGATGAATTCATCCCTTTCCAAGGGTAATAGCATGAAATGAACAAAACAGAACCAACTAGAATTTGAATTCAGCTCAGCATGTTCACTTGCTGAAAATTATTACATTATCCACACATCAGTGTGGATGTCTGTAAGTGATGAATCACAAATTGTAGAAGAAATGTGCCATTGAGCGGAATAGGCCATACTCACTCAGAGCCACATTGGGTATGAATGGTGAATATGGAAGAACCTCAACACAGTCTATCTGTTTGAGCTTCTCATTAGTCAACTTAGCAGTGTGTGTCCTCACATTTTCTTGGTAAAACAAAGTCTAATCTTGATTGAGCAAAGCAGAATACTCCTCCTTTAGTTTGTTGTACACGTGGTCTAGCTGATGGCAATACACTTTAGCATTGATGGCGTGATTATGTCAAAAACACTCGAAATGCAATAATCTTTGGAAATTTAAACAAAGATCAAGATTTGTTTTTTTTTTTTTTCTGCTTCCTATGTGAGTCAGGACATTCTGGTCAATCTAATATATATATATAAAAGAAAGACATCAATGTTGAAGTGATAAACAGCAAATTTACCACAATATATACCTTAGAAAAAGAAACCTATACAAGGAAAGAAAAAAGAGCCAAAACCAAAAGGTAAACACCAACCTATGGAGTACATTAAATTACACAGTGCTTATATTATCTACAACAAGCAGAACACGCTTCAAACTGTCACAATTTCAGAAAAAAACTTGAGTCTCAAACTTTCATGCTCTACCAACCTAGTGTTTATACATGTGTGTGAGTGTGGATATGTATGTATGTATGTGTGTGTGTGTATATATATATATATATATATATATATATATATATCTGTATGTGTGCCATATATATATATGAATGTGTGTATGTGTACTTATATGTGTGTGTATTTATGTGTCTCTGTCTATATATATGTTTGTGAATGTAAGTGTATGCATGTGTATACATATATATGTGTGTGTGTGTATATATATATATATATATATATATATATATATATATATATATATTTTTTTTTTTATAGATACAAATATATAAGTAAATACGCTATCCATTTTACTGCTTTTAAACTACAATCTTCCATGAATTGACCTTGCTAACCAAATGATCATATGTGGCTCAATCGTTTAAGGCATGTCAGGCTATATGATATTTCAGTATAGGATACATGTTCAATTCCTATTAGAAGACAAATATTTTCTATGAAAATTTTTCAGACATTCAGGCTGGTAAATGTTATTAATACTGTTTATTATAAACAGAGCATTTACTTAAATGTTTGTATCTATAAAAAGAATTGTTGAACTTTTTCCATTTTTTATATATATATATATATATATATATATATATATTTTTTTGAGGAGGTATTGCTGTATACTATTATTTATATGTTTTCATCTGCTGTAATTCAGGGGCCTTCTTCAGGTGGTTGGAATGTTAACTGAACCCTTTATTTCACACTGACCAATTCTTTATCTAATGTCTCTGTGTTTATACTTATGACTTTTATCATGTTGTAAGCAGCAGACAATCCCTTTTCTTTACACTGTATGGATGGTGGGAGTTGAAATTGAGGTACTGTCCAGTGAATATCAGTTTAAGGTATACAGATGTGTTGAACCCATGCTCTGTCCGAGATATTAGAACATCCAGGAATGGGAGTGTGTTGTTACTCTCTTTCTCTATTGTGAACTGTATCGAAGGTTTATTGAGTTCACATGGTCCAGTAGAGATGAACATCTTCCTGGTGTTTTAATTTGAAGGTATCATCTACATACCTTAATTAGAGAGACATTAGATTAAGAATTGGTCAATATTCAGTAGTACCCTACAACATAACAACTACCCTGGTACATGGCAGCAGCCCCCAAAAACTGGCATAAGCCGGTACAAGAGGAGGACAACAACACTCAGAAAACAGGCTGCCTGTGTTATATAAAGGATCTGCGGTCCATATAACAGCAGGACAACCTTCAAAAGCTGAACAATACTTCACAGATATCTCTCCCAAGTAAGACCCCTCCATAGAGGAGACATTACTAAAGACTGTGTGTATGCTATCCCATGCAGCAGCGGAAAGAAATATAAAGGGGAGACAGGCTGCCCTCTTAAGGTGAGGCTTCAAGAACACCAGAAAGCTGTAGTATGAGTGGAAGTGGAAAAATCAGGCGTGGTTGCTGACCCCATATGGAGAGAAAAGGGAGATCACTGTCTTCTGTGGGATCAGGATGAGATCATAGACAAAGAACACCATTGGAAACTTGGGAAACTTAAGGGATCAGCACATATATTAGGCCATAAAAATCTCCTGAGCCGACCAAGCATAGAAATGAATACAATATGGGAACCAGTAATGAGAAGTGCTAGAGAAAATGGATAATACCAAAAAAATGAATTATGAGCTCAGGTAAAAATATGAAATGATAACAGCAAAAAATTGTAATATGAGCACTGGTAAAAATGTGGTTGCTGAAGACGTTAGGTTTATAATACCCAGAAATTCATACAAAGATGTCCTCAAGGACACATGGATAAAGGCATTAGTTAGATCCAGTGACTACACCCAGAGAGTTGTAAGTTCAATCCCTGGTTAAGGTCCATTAAGTCAGTGGAGAACTTGGAGAGGGGAATTAACAGGAGATAACTGATAACGAACATCCATAATGTGGAACTAGAACAGTCTATCCTAGTGAGCAAAATAAGGGGTTCAGTTCAACATTCCAACCACCTGAATATTGTTGCAATAAATATGTCGACAAAGATGTGGATCTATCTATCTATCTATCTATCTAT